GCATTATTACGGTGTGTATTATTACGGTGCCCATTATTACGGTGTGCATTATTACGGTGCGCATTATTACAGTGCGCATTATTACGGTGTTTAAACGAACGGTGCGCAAGTTAACGGTGTCTAAATGAACGGTGCGCATTTTTCTGTGTACAAACAAACGGTGCGCAAGTGAACGGTGTTTAAGTGAACGGTGCGCATTATTACGGTGTCTAAGTGAACGGTGCTCATTATTACGGTGCGCATTATTACGGTGTGCATTATTACGGTGTGCAGTATTACGGTGCGCATTAGTACGGTGCGCATTATTACAATGTGCATTATTACGATGCGCATTATTACGGTGCGCATTATTACGGTGTCTAAATGAACGGTGTTCATCTTTCTGTGTGCAAACAAACGGTGCGCAAGTGAACGGTGTTTAAGTGAACGGTGCGCATTATTATGGTGTCTAAGTGAACGGTGCGCATTATTACGGTGTCTCAGTGAACGGTGCGCATTATTACGGTGTCTAAGTAAACGGTGCGCATTATTACGGTGTCTTAATAAACGGTGCGCATTATTACGGTGTTTAATTGAACGGTGCGCATCTTTCTGTGTACGAACGAATTGTGCGCAAGTGAACGGTGTATAATTAAACGGTGCGCATATTTCTGTGTACAAATGAACAGTGCGCATTTGAACGGTGGTTTAATGAACGGTGCGCATTTTTTTGTGTGTCCAAATGCACCGTGTCTAATTGAACCGTGTTTAAAATTCTGTGTCTATTTGCAACGTGTCTCAGTGCAACGTGTTTAATTGAACGTTGTCTAAGTGAATGCTCTCCACTCGTTCTACATTTTGCGCACATAAATTTGTTCCAACTTTTTTAATTCTATTCTTATTTGCTAATAAAGTAAAAAGAGTGCGAAAAGACAAGAAAAAAGATAAACTAAGAGAGAAATTCAGATAATTTGACGCGTATACAGGCTTATCTACATAAAACGCAGACGCGAGTTGCAGGAAGCAGGTCTCATAGAATTGACCAATCCCGTTGGTCATATTCACCAATTCTGTGAGACTGTCAGTTTGCGATCCACGTCTGCATTTAACTGTAAGTAAACTTTACACTAGCCAACTTTGCGCGTGCTCGTTATTGCTGGCTTCACTGACATCAAAGGTGCCGACAGGGAGTTGCGCTACTGCAGAAATGCCAGATCGCGCCGGACCGCCTTGATGCTCTCGTACGCATACAAGTAAGAACCACACACGGACGCTGTTTTTGCTTGTATGCGTACGAGAGCATCGAAGACGGTGGGAATACCCTGCTTCGATACTCTTGATGTTGTCCGGCACGATGTGGCATCTCTGCGGGGTGATACTCTATTGACCACAGTACGATTCGACACCGCTCGATTCGACACAGATTTATTCGACACCAAATTATTCGACACCGTACGATTC